TTTTTATTTACGTTTTACACAACGTCCACTCCCAACTTCATTGGAATTGGGGTTGTAGTCGAAATAAACCCTTAATTCGCTGCAGTTAGATGTGAAAGTATTCGGGCTCGCCTCTCATTCATTCTTCTGCTCAGTGTGTGTAAAATGACAAATATTGACCAAAAAACACAACTGGCAGTCGACCAACCCTACCCAGTAGCAAGCAGTTAGCAGCCTTGTTAACTAGCATTTTTCCCCTCCTCGTTAAAACTCTACAAAACTCTAAAACCGTACAAAGAAAATAGATAGAGGCTCTGGGGGCTTTTCCTACAGACTAGGCCTATGTTCCTGTCTTGCTCGGATGTTAATGGTTAGCTCATCGGCTACAGTTATTTACTAACTAGCCCTGTGAGCAGTCCTTATGTCACCAATTATTTTCAAGGTGGCATACAGAAGAAAAGCCAGAACAAAATGGCTATAAAAAATGATTAGTATAGGTTAAAAAAACAAAAAAACAAATCTCTTAAATGGCCCACAAAATCAGAAATGGACCATTATTCACCTCTCTGCCTTTGCTTCATATCTCCGGCTCAGACAGAACTTGAAATATTACAGTTTTACTTCAGAGCTCCTCCATTGTCCTTGTCATCTCATCCACACAGCAGGCTGTTAGCTTCGGTCTGAAAGCCAGATAAAAGGCAGACAAAAATCCCCCAAACTCAGACAGCAAAATGTCACCTTGTCTTAAAATATAGCTTTCTTTGTTTTTCCCCCTGAAGGAGAACTGTAGAACCACACTACACCTTGAGATGATGGCAGTGGTCTGTTTTTACTTTACCTTGTTAATCCAGGGAAGGTTGTCTGACATGCATTGCAATGATACACACTTTGACTCATTCTCACCTCTAAGTTGCTCAAACCAAATGCTGTGACACTTTGTTCTGAGGGAGAGAGGCGATGCAATAATTGCAAGCCTATGTGAATGCAGTAGTGAAGGTCGAACTATGGGCCTTAAATGATATGTCTATTATGTTTTGTCCTTCATGGTAGAACAGACTACTGTGGGACCTAAATGTGTGAGCAGTCATTGTGAGCCCATTTGCTTTGACTCATGTCCTCTGACTTCGCCCTAATCAAACACAGCAGGCCAAGGGTTGCTCGCCATCCTGTATTGCAGCAATACCTGCCATGTCCAGCCTTGTTTTTTTGTATTTTCATTTGTTGACCTGACCATCATACATTCATATCTGTGATCATGTTTGCTAACATCCTGTTGCCATTGATTGCTCAACTCTTCCTGTTCATCAAAGATCTACTGTTTGGTTTCGAAAACTGACTCATGCTACCCACAGGCCCTAAAACTGTAGGTCTGAAAAAACAATGTGGTTGTATTAGTCAGCCCATAAAGGTAGATGTAGATTGATTTTGTTAAAACCAACAACACGATTCTCAGCTGTCATCTTTCCCAGTGTCTGTAATCAGACCTGCTGTGTGTGTGTGTGTGTGTTACTTTAGCAGTCACAGCTCAGAAAGAGCCGATATTTAATGTAAAGTGAGTGAATACAATGTGGCTATAATACATTTTCTTCAATGAAAAATAACTGTTTAGTCACACCAAGGAGGATTTGTTTTACAGTTGCACTCAGTTCTTCATTCAGCTCACAGCTTTGACTGCTCCTGCTATACCAGAGTTAGTGCCAAGACAATACAGTACATTTGTAAAATTGCATTGGAGTCGGGACTGAATTGGACTCTTCATCATGGTAAGCTTTGGTTTCGTATACGGTCGGACTAAACAATCAGGACATAGCTTGTTTAAAAGACACATGGCAAGTTTCCATGATGTATGCTTAAAGTACAGTAAGTTTAGAGAACACTGAATCATCAACTCAGGTCAAGAGACTAAATTGGTCTGAACTAAAAATTCAAATTTTAGTCAACTTAATAAAATGTTTGTATTTGCTAGGGATGAACCAATCAAGTTTATTTTTGGCCCCTGATCCCGTTCTAAGTCCTTTAATATAGAGTCTGCAGATATTGAGTTAGATCCTAAATATATTTACCTAAATGTTGATTAAATATGTATTTTTCACTCTTTACCTGGAAAGGTGTGACTCCTGAAATTTACGTGATCTATTAAATGTTAATTCTCTTTTCTCCCTCATTAATTTGTAGTAATTGCTACAGTATATTTGCTCCTGTGTTCACTGAGATCACACCTGTAACCACCTTTACATTCTCTCAGTTGGTTACTGTCTTTGTGAAATGACCAGTTGGGGTGGGTGGGAGTGGATTTATATCAAAGAACACGACCTGCCATTGTGAGAACATTTACATTGTACAATGCCTCCTGGTTGAAAATCAATAAAAAGATTTTTGAAAAGAAACTGTACTTATTTAGGTGTACTGTAGGTTTTATAAAGCATAAAGTATACGGTTTCCTGGACATGCCTGCAAGTGCTGAATGAGTCAAACCAGAAAGGACCCCTTTTATTGGTCTACCCCTCCACTCCCACAGTCGAGTCACCCACCAGCCTCTACAGCTTGATTGTCAATTTATAGTCAAGAAAGCTTTTCAAATGCTAATATAGGCCTGCCACATGTAGTGATCCAACTGTGCCTCTCATTACCCTGTACCAATAAAACTCTTCTCAGACTGCCTGTCACAATTTATATTTTTTATCAGTGACACTTTGAGATTATTCATAGCCCTTCACTTTGTCTCTCTGTCAGCTTCCTCCCGACCCCCACGCACTCATCTGCATTAATCAACTCTAATCATCAGGTGAGGCTTTTACGAAGAGCATCCACGGCGGGTTCACGCATCACTCTGTCAGTCGACAATGGCGACAGTTGCCACGAGTTTGTCAAACGGAGAATATAAACGAGACAAGACGTCTTGTTTTGGGATCAGACCATCTAGGAATCCCTCTAGTCTTCCTCTTCCAGTCACAAACCCCTCTAACCTCCAGGCCCCTGTCAGTGGAGGTCAGTGTTTTGCAACCCAAAGGGAGTGGTCGAAGTCTAACTGTGCTTTCCCACAGTGAGAAAATGAACGGAGCCAGGATTAAATTAGAAAACTTGATGCCTCTCCACAAAGCCTTGTTAATCAACCTCTAACGCTCAGTGACAGTTTCCTAATCCGTTCGCCTTATTATTGTAAGCAGCTCTTCATGTTGTCTATCCTCTCAGACGGTGGCTCTAAGGTTTCTAACCAATCAGAATGTAGCGATTTGATTTCCCCTTCCTGATTAAACGAGCAATATCCAATCGGCAGCATTGTTTTCCTTGTCTTTCTCCTTTCTGAGCCGCCTGTGGTTGTGTTTTCGTCTGACTGGAGATTTGGGCAATCCGACGTTGTTCCAGGTATGGCCGTGACGTCCGTTGGCCGTGCAATCCGCGGCAGCCGTACGGATTGCGACCATGTGTTAGTCAGGATCTTGTTAAGTGAGCAGTTCCAGTTCATGAGAGTCAAATGTCTTCCTGAGGACAGAGAGAGTAGGTAAACTCTGCCTAACAGTTGACATTTTGTGTGTCTGAGAGATGATTGTGAATGTGACTGAACCAAACCAGTGTGGTTACTGCTTAGCTGCTGCTTGTGTATTGCTTGCAGATTTGTTGCCTGATTGGATTCTTCTTTGGCCAGCTGTCAAGTGCTTCTGCCCTCTGCTGTGCACAGGAGCAGGTGGAGGGAATTGTGTGTGGGGCCGGAGGTCAACATCTGGCCAATGAGAGCTCCTGTTGCTGCTGGGTTGGACTGTAAAATACTGTGTCTCTGTCATGATGAATTGGCATAGCAATGTGTAAGGACATTGGTGGTTCCCAGTTGATTTATCCTACAACTTTGGTGATGCCCTGACTTGCCTAGTGTCACCATGAAGTTGACATTTGTGTTTTTGAATTAAATGTCTCAGCAACTGTTGAATGGATTGTAATTAAATGTTGTGCACACATTCATGCCTGCCTGAGGATGAATTAACCCTTCCTAATTCCCGCCCCTTTTTGCTCTGTGCTCCAATAATAGTTGAGCAAGCCTCAGTCCGAACCTCGGTCAAAACCTCGGTCAACTTCCTCCTTTCCTGTACTTAGATATGCTACGTGCTATGTTGAAAAGACAACCACATTTTGAAGGTGGTCAAAAGATAGAAGATATGTGATCGCTTTATTTCATAGCCACGTAACTAATGACATTTAATTCCCGTCAGCCTCAACGGTATGAAATTTTGTGTTTAATTAGCAAGTTGCCATGCTAACACACAAAACTAAAATGTCAATGAGGGTAAATATTAAACCTGCCACTGTAAATATATGCATATTAGAGGTCTATATTTTAATCTGGTGATACAGTTTCCATCTCATAATGAGAGACAGTAAAAGGATAACAGTAAAGATATTTCAGTGTTGCTTCAGTTGTTATGGATGGATGCAACAGGAATTTTTGTGTCAGTCCAAAATATAAGCATTTGGTCTTGTATACTAGTTCAAATGTGTGTGTGTGAGCGTATGTGTGTAGTGTGGTAATGTCAGTTCATTCAACCCCCCATCTTATCCCCACCATTGCCCCCAGTTATGTGTTAAGTTGTGTCCTCCATTAACATTTTAGTTAAACTAATGTCTGTTTTTTTTTCTTGTTTTTTTTCTGTCTCTTGTCTCCTCTTTTTTTTTATTTTGTTCGTTGTCGTCCTGTGTGGCTGCGGCTTCTCCTGCTGCTGCTGCTGCTGTTGCCGACGCTGCCCACTATCGCCCATCCTGCTGCACGCAAACCAACCACTGCCAACATCTGGTCAACAACACATGATGGACGCCCCTCTTCCCTTCCCCTCCTTTAATCTTTATCCAAACTCTCTGACACACTTTTTTCAAATCCCTCTCACCCTCTGTCCCTCTGTGTTCCCCAACTTTTTTTCCTCCCTCTTGCACTTTTCTTTTTCTGTCTCCACCCTTTTTCCCCTGCTAGCACCATGCAGAGTTGAGAGAGCACCATGCCACCTCCGGTAAGCCAGTGACCTTTTAGAGGAAGGGTTAAGGGCATGGTATTTAGGGGTAGATGGACCATAAGGGTGTGTGTGTGTTTTAAGTAGGGCAAAAAGCTTAATAGTAATGCACCCATTTTCTCAGACAAATGTTCCTTTAAATGTTTATTTTTCCATGGTATTGTGTACTTAAACTGCTCTCAGGCTCCTAATAGTTATTTGAATTGCTCTGCCAGCCCCTTCATTTATCCAGCAAAAGTCCACCCTCATTAATAAACCATTAACTGCAGTTTGTCATGGAGCAGAATTTGCATAAAGTCTCTTTGACGTTCATTTTTCTTGTGGCTTTCCATGAACTCCTTAGGGGATAGTAGTTAATACATTCTCTTAAATGTTTTTACTATCTGGTTTCTGACTGCTATTCTGGAGATTGAAACCTGTATGTGTCAGTTAGCAGTGTTTATTTTGGAGGCGTGTCACCACGTACAGTATATGTGACTAGATGTGTTTTTATGTCTCTGTGGCTCTTAAGCAACTGCTGTTCTCTTTGCTACCGTCACCTTTGTGGTGTCTGATGGGAAAGCGTGTCAGCATGTGTATGTGGAGTACCCATACCCACGAGAGCACACATACATGTACAGAGCTTCATTTACAGTACACATCCGCAGGAGTTCAACACCGCTGTCTGATAGGGTAGACAGGTGATGACATCACTAGATTATGATCTGGATTATATAGTATCTTTGTGACCATATGTGTATGTGTATTGTGTGTCCTGTAATTTGATGATGCAACCCAGTGGAGGGTTTAGAGCAGGGATGCCCAGACTTTGTTGAAGGGCCAAAACTGAAACGTGATGGTGTATTGTATTGTTAGGATGCAAAATGTTCCCCTTAATTGACTGACTTCCTGTGCAAATTGTCACTCTAAACACCATGCTCGGATTAAGTCAAAATTAGGGATCCTTTTAAAGAGCATTTTTACCTCACAAAAAAGCACAGCATAAACAGTTGTTTATATTAGAATTTGTTTGAATGAATTATTTCTTTCTCTGGGTTTTTAATTTCCCCTAGGGGATTAATAAAGTATATCTTCTTCTTCAAATGGTAGCTGTTTTAAGAGCAGGGCTGCCGATGGCTGGTATTTTGACAAAGACCAGACATGTATAATTCTATTCTATTCTATTCTATAGAAATACATCAATAATAGGCATACAGCAGGTTATAGTACAGCACTGGTGATTATACATGTATAGTTTTGTTAGAAAAGAAAGAAGACAAACTATGTCAGGCTGACCTTTTACATATTTATTGTCACAATAACAAGTTAACTGCCACGATAAACCAACTGGAAAGGACAGGCCGTCAACCAGAGTCAATTGTACCAACTGAGCATAACACATTGGAGTGTGTGAAAACTAATTAGCAAGTGAGCATGAATTGGTTAGCCAAAAGTAAGCTTCTGCCACTCCACACTCCCAAACCCACTGAAAAAAATAGACCAAGCCTAAACATCATAAAGTCCGGGATCATAACATCTCGTTTGAAAACATTATTGTTCTAAAATCAGATGTATGTATGAATAATAATAATAGAATACATCCACTTCAATATGATTTTAAATAAGAACATTGGAACATACTGTAACAGGTTGTGTCGATGAGTCCTTGAGACAAAAAAGGATGGGAACCATAGATCTGCTAGATATCTTGTCTTGAAGGCAGTTCAATACCAGTGCATTTATTTTTTGAAAAAGATTTAAGTAGTTTTCCATGGGCAGGTTTGAGGAAGAGGCTCCAGTTAATGAGAATGAAAAGAATGTGTAGCACTGACGAGTGCATTTGAAGCCCAACAGATCAGTGGAGTCACTGTAACGATAGAAACAATGACAGAAATGTTCAGGGTAACCTTCAGAATGTGAGGAATGTGGGGAGGCAGTTGTTGCCAACTAATCACCCTAAGAGACTCCAAATTCATACCGGCTATCTAATTTGCTCCCCAATCAAAAGAAATCATAAAATAAATAAAAAACCCAATAGATTAAAGTGATATTTTGGCTAGAGCAGACTGGTACTGTATTAGACCCACACAATATCTAATTTCATGTTTTATGTTCTAAACGTGTCTCAACTTGATAAACTCACTTCAGTGTCAAAAATAGTTCCTAAATCTCCTCTCAACTCAGGTTTTCATACTCCAGTTATTATCAAACTGGGATTAAATTAGGAACAACCCAATAACAAAATCAGTGTCCCGTTCAAGAAAGATAAAACTCATGTTTTAATTTCATATATTTATTTTGGTCCTCTGCCAACCCCAGAGTGCTCCCATTGGCTGGGAATAACATGCTTGATTAGCAGCAGGTAAACAAGGTGGAGTGATAAGGGACAAGGGCACTTATTAAGGTTATCAGCACTCATGCAAGCCTCTTTTTCCAATCATGAGACCTGGATGAAAACAAATATTATATAAGTTATCAAAATGTGTTATGAAACTGAAGGCTGCACCTAGCAGATGTTCCACAAGAGGGCTGTCTGTAGATGATTTCTGATCTGAAGTAAGATGGCAACATGTCTCTCATCATGTCCTTCCTTTTCATCTCTCACCTTCCTCTTCCTCTGTCTCCCTGTAGCTGCCGTAGTGTGCGGTGATGACACCATCCTTCTGACCCCAGGCAGGATGAGCCAGCGCCAGGTGAAGGAGCGGGACAAGGAGAGGGAGAAGGAGGCAGGCCTCCAAACCCCCAGCAGGGAGCACGTCGCCACCCCCTCTTCCCTCAGCCCGGGGATCAGCTACAGCCACGGTAACATACAGACTTCTTTTGCACTTCACAGTTTATTGCAAGTGGCACATTTTTGACTTAAACTTGTATTATAGTTCAGTTTGGTGTGTACAGTATTACACTGAGCTCCATGGATTATCTGTAGATGAACATACACTCAAAGCTTTACACTCTTACACACTTTTTTTTTTTTCTAGACAGGGCATGTACTATGTTATGATGGCGTATAATAAATAAATTACCTCGTAAACTCTGCATTTTATGACACACGCTCATAACCCATTCAGGTTCAGGAAGATGAAAGCTACATATTTAAAAGTATTGCAGAAACATTTGATGTAAATTAACAAATTTACTTCAGCTTCAAAGAAAATCAGCCCTGTAGTTCTAATTTCCCTGTTTTGTACGTATATTTTACCATATTTTAGTAATAAGTCTCTCTGTCTCCCTGCCCATTTGCCTTGTTAATTTTCGGTTGTTCACTGTTTATGCAAACTCACTACTTCCTTCCTTCCTTGTTTACCTGTACGGTAAATTGAGCGTAATGTACATTGCCACAGCATTTTTTTACCTGCAGTACATACTATACATATCATAGTCATACCGTACTCAACACTGGCTTTTCTAACTCATAATGTTAATAGGTTCTGCCTGTCCTCCTGTGTTAAGCCTGTGTAAATGAATTCCTGCAGATGCTTCACATTAAACTGAAACCATGTTTTAACTGAAATAAGAAATAACACATTCATCCTCTTACAAATAAAAGGTTGAACTGTCTAGCTCAGTTCAGCAGGGTCAGCTGTTCTGTTGCTACAGTCTTACTTGGTCTGGGATGAGCAGTAGCTGATGGAGACTATTGTTAGCAAGCTGGTTATAGGGTCACTTAGTTGGGTATGACTCTTGTTGTGCTACTTTTATAGCTACATTTTAACATTTTAACACAACTTTCATACAATGATTGCCACGAGTTGCCACTGTTTAGAAAAAGTTGAAAACAGAAAATAATGTTATATATACAATGAGTAATTCAGAGAGTAATCCTGCTCTCATCTTGCAATTTCTTACATGACAGATTTGCCTGGGATTACATTTCTTGGTGATCTTTTTTTTTTTATGAATCCCCTCACATTTTCTGGTCATACTAGTTCTACGTGATGAGGCAGAACTCCAGTTCCTCTGCAGCCTTTGATAAAACACTGAATATTAATTGGTTTTTTGAATGGTCAGAGCGGCTGTCTCATAACAGAAAGGTCACAGTCCGGATGAGTGTAGGGTGCAGCAACAGCAGCCACGCATGTCGGCGAGCATGTGCAAGCCACCAAAACTCCCACCTGCTCACTGAATGTGAGACGCTTCAGATAAGAACAATAGCTACATGCCTAAAATGTAAACACACTTAACCAAAGAGCCAGACACACATTTACAGTCATACTTAATCACTGTATGCAGACAGACCTACCATATTCTGTACCTCTTATTATCTTGCTTCCTTTCTCGTTCTTTTCTTTGGTTCATGTTGTTCTCGATTAAAGATAACACTCGAAAGCCTACTGGTGACATTGGACATTTTTAGCCCCAGGACAGATGTCTGTTTTTTGTTTAGCCTTTACCTTTCCCAGACAGTCCTGGTGGAGAAACAATGACTCATACCTACTTGATGAGTGGTTCTCACTCAGCCTGGCTGTGCACCGATGCACAGCCAAAAGCCTGCAGGTTGATCAGGTCTATATCGTGTCTTTTTGTGCTGCTTTTGTGATTCTGTGATATTAAATGTCTTACATTATATGGAGTAAGTCACTTTGTGTTGGGAAGTGAAAATTAGCCAGCTGATTCTCACACTCTTGATGTTCTATAAAAGCGTGTTACTCTCAGCCTTTTAGCTCTGTCATTACAAGGGGTCATCGGGTCTGGCTGTATGGTTGGAGATCATCTCATTTTGTTTAATTGACTCATTGTGGTCTAATGATACTGCTGGAGCTCTCCAGACCGCAGATTAGAAACAAATCAAACAAAGGCTATAACTATGGAGAAATACGCTCAAGGGTAGATTTGGCTGGGATCTTACATCAGCCCTCATACTGCTTGTTCCTTGTTCTTATGTTACAGTGCCCTCTTGTGGTTTTGTTTAATGACAGCACTGCAAGAATACAGATAATAGAAAGCACAGATTGCTGTCATGGGTAGGCCAAGAAGCTTCTTTTGCACGATCTATAGTAGCTTCAAACCTCACCTCTAGTTTTAGCAAGTAGATTAGACTAAATGAGTCGGGCCAGTCGGGTTGCAGATCCCACCAGTGTCATAGTCTGCGAGTATGAACAGGTCACATGTGAAAGATGGATGTGAAGCTGTGAGTGCATGTCTTTGCTGCTGGATTTGATTACTTCAGAGCTTGCTGAACTTTGGACACATTTGGGTCACTCTTGTATTCTGTGATTTATCATCACAACAAGTTGAGTCAGTTTGCATGAATACATTTGAGGTAATGGCTGTGTTTTTTCTAATTTTAAGAGGGCTGTAAGCACACTTTCTACCACAAGAGGGAGTAAGCGTAACATAGAAATGGATACAATTATTACACACAATAAATAAAAGCTTGTTCTGCTCAACAGTTACCCAGGCTTCCAGGCATATAGTGTATCAGACTTCTAAATATGTATATGTAGTAATTTATATATGTTTATCAAGAAACTACACAGATTTAGTAGTCGAATAATGCCTTTGTCTGTACTGTTTTGTCCAGTTGAATCATGTGAGTGTAATGACATGAAAAAAATCTTTACTGCTTGGCAAATAATTTCCTGAGAGTATGTTCTGTATGCTTGTAAGTTTGCAGCAGCAAACCCATCTGTCCAGCAACATCACCTTCTAACCACAACTGCATCTGCGAAGCAAGAGTCAGTAAAACAGCATGCATTTTCTGACCCTGGACTCCCTGCAGGCCAAAATGGGTATCCATGGCAACTGATTTTTTCTTGAGCTAGCCCTTGGTCTTGCTTGGATCCAGTAATGTTTGTCTGCAGTAACACATGAGCGAGATGTTTAATGTAGGGTTCATTTGTATGTTTCACAGACTCCAGAGTCACAAGGTGACATAGTTATTTCTGAATTGAGAAAAAGATTGTAGGAGTTCTGTGAAAATTCACAGGTTAGGTGTGAAGAGTGATCATGAAGCTTTTCCTAGTTATTTTCCATAGCTCATTTTAGTAACTTGGTGATGCTTAGTAACATAAGCATGATTCCACTGGAACATACATTTGATTGTACCCCAGGAGTGAAGAGCCTTCCCTCTGACTGACCAATTTGCTATATTTATACACAAGTGCTCACTCTCTGAAACCCTTGTTTACATGGGGTCTGATTAATAATCAAATCCTCCTTGTATCCTCTCCAAACAAGGCCCTGACATCATCATTGTCAGGTTTTTGCATAGAACTCAATTGTGAATACTGGGGCGTGTTGGGTTGTAATGCAACAGGCTGGAAAGCAACATATATCAAAGAACTTTATTAATCAGATTGTAATAGAGGGTAGCTAAACTGTTGTTTATAGTTTATTCAGACTTCTTTCATAATGTTGTTTGGATCATTTAGTATAATCTGAGTTTTGTTGCATCATCTAATACGCACAGACAAACTCTGGTGTCTGTGGTCTGGCTGCCAAGTGAGCCTTCTTTTCTTTATGACTCACTGAGAACAAAAATAAACCCAGCAGGTTGTTTGACAAGGCTTCTTCAATCGGCTTTGAAGCCGCTCTCGCTTTAACCGCCTTTCACTGACTTGCTGTCCTCTTTCCAGGTAAACAGAAAATCTGCTTGTACTGGAGAGTGAGAGAGGGGTTGGGAATGAGAGTGATGCAGGGGGAGAGGAAGATGTAATGAAGATAGGAGAGAAGAGGAGAGAATATATAAATTGAAGGGAAGTGAGTTGAACGGAGGAAAGAGTTTGAAAGCAAGGAAGTGCTAGAGCGAGAGAGCAGGTGGGGTCAGCATGGATTTAAGCCTCAGGGATTATGCTCCGTCAGACGGGGTTAACAACATGGAGGGGGCTGGTTTTATCTGCGCCCTCAGCCACTGCCAATCCAGAGTTCCTTCTTCCGCCCACGCTCTCATCCAATGAACGGCTGTGCCCCGGGAGGCCTGAGCGCTAAGAGGGACGAGGCTTGACAGTGAAGATATGTACCGTAGATAGCGAAGAGTCTGTGGAAGAGGACAGGACCAAGATGATGGAGAATATCTCGGCCTCTGGGGCCGAGTTCTTCTCGGATGGCAGAAGGCTTGCCCGGACCGACAGAACCTGGATCTAAAGCGGGAGGGATTTTAGCATGATTTGGACAATTAGAGTCCTGTCAACACTTGACCTTGGGATACTTCAGTTTTAGCCTGAAGGAACGCAAGGTACAGTATGAAATAGTACCAGCTGACAAGGTAGTGCTTCAGCTAGTGCTTCAGCTAGAGCTTTGTTGTCTTAGTTGTACGTCTTCACATGAAACCCCCCACCCTCTTGTGATGATGACTGATCTGTGCTGTCTCGTGGCTGTCAGTATTGTGTCGTATGGGTGCGTTGTCTAAGTAAGGGGCCTCTCATGAGGATAGAATGAAGATCACATCAACATAAAATGGCTTTTTTCTAAGCAAATTATCATGTGGACAGAAAGAAGACCCTTGATTCTGTTCCTAGTGAGACAAGGAGAAGAATAGAGCAGAAGATGCCTGTAGGCCAGTGTTCAAAGGGCCTCTTTGTCGCAAAGCTAATCCCAGGCTTACAGGGTCTCCTTGCAGCCTTTATGTAAGACGAGAAGTATCTGTCTGCATGTGACCTACTGTCTGCAGTGTATGTATCACTTGCACTGCATGGCATCAGATGTATTTCAGCTTGTGGGTTATTGGGTCATAGTTCGTCTGCAGTTTAGTCATATGTTTTTCATGTGACTTTTTAGGCAGTTTCTTTGAGCTTCACTTTTCTGTTAAAAATATTCTATTCACTATACATTTATTATGACTACACAGCAAGATTATTGTCTTC